GAAGGCAAGAATAGGCATTTATAATATTAGTGTGATATTAATTTAAAATTAATATTTGTGATTTGAACAATTGAACAGAACTCTTGCTTGAACAATGCGGTATCGCAAAGGTTGGTTCCTATCATTCATCATTCAGGTGTGTTGCTCAGGATTTGCATATAGCCGAATTTGGGAATTGGATTCACGGTTGCCTGGATAGACAGGTTGAAATGGTGGCCTACAATTATGCGGGATTTATAGACATCTTGCTTACTTGCGATAAGGTTCATTTTCGTATAGCAAGTATACAAGTTGTAATAGAAATATAAGGCCATTATTATACTAAGGTAAATGTACCGTATTGTACGAGCACTTACTGTCTACGAATTCACAAATAATACATTGACTATTTACGTGTGAGAGAGCTATGCCGGCACGAATGAGCCGGCTCAACCGGATTGATACCACGGCCTCACAGAAAACCGACGTGAAACAACGCTTGCATTGGGTTTCGTCGTGTGAGTGAGGTTACCGGAGGCCCAAGTACCTCCCCAATTTGCCTAATCCCCGAATCCCCCACAATCCTCAACTTCCTAATTCCTGAAAGGCCGTTAATGCACTTGTAACACCTTTCGTGTTTTGGGTGTCTATAGGCGGCGGCGATTGCTTACCATCAAGTGATCCGTACGCTCGTTTACCGGCTTGTTCCATATTTTTTTTTATAAAATGTACTCTTGTTTCTTACCAGAGTAAAAATTTATACAATCGAGTTTTTGTAATCTTGCCCTTGATGTCACTGACCGTACAATCACCCACAGTTTTACCAATAATATCAATTCATATGTACAACGACATAACTCATTAAACTCAGTCGAAACTATGACATTATAAATAGCTCCGTTCCACGAAATACTACCACGAACTGAATTCAAAGAAAACTACGTTTATTCGTAGATACCTACAGAAGAATAAGTTTACAATAGTAGAGAGGTATGCACTAAAATATGAATTAAAAAGTATTTCTTTGTTTAACTGATGGATAATTTGATGTGTTTATAAAATATTAGCGGCTGCCCGCGACTCCGTCCGCGTAGAATATGAATTTTAGGAAATAACTTTTTTTGTTTCAATTTTCCAAATTAAAAGTAGCCTATGTTACTCCTTCATCACCTGCCAATAAAAGCCCTGTCAAAATCGGTCCAGTTATTCTGGAATACTTGGACAGACTGGCTAATCTCTGGAGATTAGGCAGTACAAGCAGACAGACAGACAAAATTTATAAAAAGAATATTTTAGTATGAGTGTCGAATGTATCTTTATTTATTTATTTATTTAGTCTTTAATGTACACAATTTGATTATGGCCGGAAGTAAAAAACGGTTATTCTAATGTTACCGAGTTTTATTACAGATTCATTTTTTTATCTGTATAAATGTAAATATCACTAACAGGAACCTAATTAGACATTGCAAACCCTAGGAAAATATAGCAAATATTCAATAAACATAAAAAAAATCACTTAATACAGAATCAAAAATCATTCGAAAATGGAGAGCCTATTTCTCTATTTAACACTGATATACAATTGGTGTTTATTATTATACTAGCAACCCGCCCTGACTTCCCACGGGTGCAATATGCATGTATTATACATATAAATCTTCCTTAACAATCACTCTATCTATTAGAAAAAACCGCATCAAAATCTGTTGCGTAGTTTTAAACATCTAAGCATACATAGGTACAGACAGACGGCGGATAGCGACTTTGTTTTATACTATGTAGTGATGACCCAGAATAACCTATGTAGTAGATACACGGCACAAAGCCCTGAAATACCTTTTTGTTTCTACTTAAGAGGCCCAACGCTTTGTAAACGAGTATTTATTTTTAATTTTCAATGTACAAGAATTGTATGACTAGATTATTCTCTTTTATATTTTGTAAGCACATTTTTGTTACAATTTACCTCTAGTATTAAAACAAAGCACTAAAATCCTTAGTTAATATTATATTCAAAGTGCTAAATGTAGGTACAAACCACGGGCATGTTCCTAAGTAAACACAGTACACACACTTATCTCTGGGGCGGTCGGGTAACGGTTGGTTACACTAATAAATTACTTTGAACAATCTTCTGTAGCGGGTTGGGAGACAAACGTTTAAAGAGACAAGAATCTGAATACTTAGTAGACACGGCTATGTTTGGCATCTCTTTCTGTTTGGGGACTAAAGTACAGGAGACTGGTTTATCAGTCGTTATTCATTAATTAAGGCTTTAACTGCCAATGAAAAACTGTTGCAGGTAAATCCTCCACTAAAGAGGTCGGTAACCGGTGACGGTCCATGGCATTTAATGTGTTAAGGACTTAAATCATTGCTAAAATCTCAAGATTTAACCTTATTATTAAGGTTTTATGTATTGATGACTGCCTCGTTGACCGAGTAGTTGCAAGTGCGACTGCCGGCTAAGGGGTCTCGGGTACGATTCCCGGGTCGGGCAAAGTACTACTAGGTTTTTAAAAAATTCTCAGTAGTAGTACGGAGTCTGGAATTGTGCCCGGTAATAGGGTAATCCCCTATTACAAGGGGCACATAACATAAATAGTGAAAAGTGGATGTTTTGTTTCATTGTACAGTGGCATAATGTGCACCTCTGCTTACCCTTCGAGGGTAAAAGGCGTGATGTTATGTTATGTTTTATGTATTGATAAGAAGTCTTTTTACTGTCTTATAGCATACACATGGGTTAACATTTTTGATATTATATGGGGTGGTTTACTATAAATCAAAGGTGTTTTAGATTCTTATTCACTAAAAACTAAAAACTACCCCGTCCCCCCGTTGTCCTATACGCCGGAGCCATCTTATATGACTGGTCTCACTTACAACAAACACATAAAAAACTACAATAACATTGCTGATTCCATTCTCTAACTACAACATCGACTCCTTTACACGTAATAACAAGCAACAAGCAATTTGTAATGCAAAACCGAGTAATATTCAGGCATAATAGTACTGAATATTGCCAATACATGAGAGTTCAATGGTTCGAACTCAGCAAGTTGCATTCAGTGAGGAACCTTTACCACAGAATTAGCAAGAGTAATGGTTTATTTCCTTTTTGAGGAATTTACGGGGACCCTGACTGTAAGAAATTAAACAAACATAACATCACGCCTTTTGTCCCCGAAGGGGTAGGCAGAGGTGCACATTATGCCACTGTACAATGTAACACCCACTTTTCACTATTTATGTTATGAGTCCCATGTAACAGGGGGTGAGCCTATTGCCATATACCGGGCACAATTCCAGACTCCGTGCTATCACTAAGAATGTTTTTTAAAAACTCAGTAATAGTTTGCCCGACCCGGGAATCGAACCCGAGACCCCTTGCCCGGCAGTCGCACTTGCGACCACTCGGCAAACGAGGCAGTTAAACAAACATACAAATTAAAATTGAGTAGCTTTTCAGTATTGGCGAGTAAGTGCATTGAATATGATTTCAATAATCACCTTTTTACTATTTATATATATGCGGCAATATGTTAGTAATTATTACGGATTTACTGACATGTCACCTTACCTGTTGCGCTGTTATATTAATAATCAAGTGCAGATTGTTAGTGATAATTTTAGATAATAATATGGCTATTTGGAACTCATAGTACTAATGATGTCTATTTGGAACTAACTAATTTAACTAACCTCAGTTAATATCTAACACATTCAGGTACGTAACCGAGTATGAAGTTCACTTCATACTTGGTATTGGTACAATACAATTACCATTGAAAAATATAAGATTTTTCCCGGTAAAAATCATACCACTAAGTCATTCAGTTCATTCGTCATTCAGTTGCGAAGTCAAGACAAGCAAACAAAACCTCTTTCGATAGGTTAACTAAGATTTTAACACTGACTTTACCGAAAAATTTTATCAAACTGAAATTCTCAAGTCTTCGGAATAGCACACACGCAACAGATTCAATAAATAATGTAATCAATCAAGTTCAAAACTTACTTCACAAACTAAATTGAGAGTTGATCAATATATTCAGCAGTTGAACAACAAAACCAGTCTTGGTTAATTTAATGACAAATACGTTAACATCACAACAGGGCCCCGAAAACAGCGGACAACGAGGGATTTTATTCAACAACATAATTTACTTTATGCAAATTTCAAATCTTACTTAATGAATACAAAGATTTAGATCAAAAGTAGCCTTACAAACTCAAAGCCTGATCAAACCTGTCTGCATTTCATTACGTTCTAGAATACTGGATAATATGAATATTAATTCGAAAACTAGATTGAAGTGAATAATCAAATATTCTGATGGTACTGAAACTGACAAGATCTTTATTCTTTAATGAATTAAGTAAAGATAAGAAAAGTTAGGTATGGGAATGTCCCACTTTATTCTCAATTACATTTTAATATGTCACATCTCAGTTTATAGGTAAGTACATCAATTTTATCAGAGAAAAACATAAATTTGTTTTTAAACTGTCAAACACCAAGCGGTCACCGGTGACCGCAACCTATTGTTCTATAATTTTGTCTATTATGACGGTACTTGACGAGTTAAGATATGGACATGACACAATTCGTTACGCCAGTAGTTTCCAGAAAATATTTTAAATAGAGCTAAACAAAATTGACAACCAGGTTGGTGCAGTGGTTGAGCAACCGGCTGCCGCGCAACGTGTCGCGGGTTCGCTTCCCGCACGCACGGAGCAACTCTTTGTGTGATCACAGATTGTTGTTCAGGGTCTGGGTGTCATGTGTATATGAACTTGTATAATATTTGTAAACGCACCCACGACACAGGAGAAAATCCAAAATAAAAAAAAAAGAATAAAATTGCTGTTATCAGACAAAATCATTAAAATACGATTTCTCGTACAAACACTAGCTTCATAAATTATTTGGATTGGTTAATTCAAAAATGAATAAAAATATTTCAATAGTAAATTCACACTCATGCAATACAAATCTAATTCGCTGGCTTTATAGCCCAATCCACAGTTACTTTGATTTTAATGTCAAATGTAGGGCAACTACTAAACTTAAAGCGTTATGGATGTACGGACGTAATGTAGGTTAATTTCCGTTGCGGCTTTCAAGTTTATTTCGGGACAAATTATTAACTAAGTACTCTTGATACCTATAACAATATTAGGTATGCCTAATCTATTAAGAATGTCTAAATCTATTTACGGTTTAGGATTATCTTCTCCACATTAACGGGAGTGTGTACGGTATAGGTTATAATAAACCATCATGTCTAGTTAAAATATTCAAGGAGGAGATATTTCGACACAATCAACTCTATAAGTGGCGATTTCAAACTTATAATTGGAAAATTATAAGCCCAGATTTCCTCACAATGTTTTCCGTGAAGCACTTTAGTAAAAATAGATTTACAACATGACATCATGCCCTTTTACCGCCAAAGGGGTAGGCAGAGAGTATCAATGCCACTATACAATGTAACACCCATTTTTCACTATTTATTTTATAAGTAATAGGGGGTGAACCTATTGCTATATACCGGGCACAATTTCAGACTCCGTGCTACTACTGAGATTTTTTAAAGACACCCAGTAGTACTTTGTCCGACCCGGGAATCGGACCCGAGACCCTTTGCCCGGCAGTAGCACTTGCGACCCCTCGGCCAACGAAGCAGTCAGGTAGTGGATTTTGAAGTCTAGACATATAGACTTCAAACCTTCATCAAATAAAAAGCACTTAAAAAATATCAGCTACAAACGCTTGGGTACTTAGTTAAAATAATTTGGGTGGAAATCTCGGTTGTAACTCAAGATCTTATCGATTTGAGAGTCCAGTGTTTCCACCCACATATTGTTCCGGGCCGTCTGTTTTCCCGGCCCGTTGAAACGACCGGAAATGCTGGTGACAACACTATTTATACGGATCCGGTACGGTTGGGTCGCTCAAGTAAATTCGTCTGTCTTTTATACGTCAGCGTCGAGCGCCAAATTTTCATTTAGGAATCGTAAATTTAAACACATGTATGT